CCGGTGCGCGGCCGCGGGGGCAGCGGGACCCTCCGGCGCCGGGGCAGGGCCGCACCCCGGCGTGGGAGCGCGGCTGGGGCCGCATCCTGCTGCCAGGATATAGGGCTCTGCATAACGCGAAGATTTTCAGCCCCGCGGGGTGTACGGCACCTCCTTGCCAAAACGCTTTCTTTTTGTTCTCCTGCCGGGCGTGCCGGTGAAGCCGGGCAGGAGAGGAAGAGGAGGCCAGGCTCACACGGAGCCTCCCGGGTTCTGTTGCCGTGACCCTGCCCTTCCCAGGCTGCAGCTTCCCTGGAGTGTCCCCGGGGAAGGCACCCCAGTCCTGGGAGCATCCCCTGCCCTGCGCCGGGCTGGGGACAGGCACCCTGCGGGCGGGGAGGAGACTGGGCAAGGGGCAGCTCCCCGTGCAGGTCAGAGAAGGGGGTGTTACTGGGTGCTGAGCCTTGGGCGCAGGCAGGAATGGGACGGTGATTGCCTGGGGATACTGGGATTGGGTAAGAAATGGGGGACAAGGGACTTGAATCCAAGGGTGTGGGTGAATCCCCCCTCAGCAAGTCCTTCCCTAAAGAAGGAAGATCAGCTCCCCCAGTGCCAGGAAGTCTCTAGCTGGAGTGATCTCTGTCGGCCAGGAGCAGAGTCCTGGAGGAGGAGCACTCCTGCCGTGGCCTGCAAACAGGGTCAGCTATGTCTTCTAACCTGGTTTCCTAAGGAAGCGAGGCAAATGCAGCTTGGCTGGCTCTCCATCTGTCTGTCAATACTCTTTGCGTCTGTTGGCTAAGTTCAGCCCCCTTTGGCAGAGAAGCAGAGGATACAAACCTATTCATATGTTAGGCAAAAAATAGCTGGGTAAAGAGAAACAAAACCCTGGTTCTGCCTAAGGGAAAGGCTACAGCGTGACCTCAGCCGTCGTATTAGACATGGGAGAATCCCCACCAGCCTGATCCAGAGGGTCTCGCGCTTGTAAGCTCTGCTTGTTTGCATCTGTGCATGCTGGGTGTTGTGGTGGAGATGCAGATACCCCGGCCGATGGCAGGCCTGGCTCGGCGCCCCGGGCCCCTGCGCAGGGTAGTGGGCTCTAAGCGGTGCCTGGAGCGCTAGGTGCTGGAAGGAGCCACTTGCAGGCGCAGTGTGAGCTAGGCAGTGGGGAATATCTGAGAAAAGAAAGTTGCTTTAAGCCCTCTGAGGGCTTTAACTGCTTAAATAAATGCATGCTAGGGGAGGAGAGTCCCCCCTCTGCTCGTTGCTTGGATGTCTCTGGAGTGAGGTGGCTGTGTGATCCCCTCCCCAGACTGGGGCTCTTGCTTGAGACACAGGCATCGAGGTTTAGTTCCTTCCAGGCAGATTTGAACCTGCAAATCCCAGCCTGACATGAATGCATGAATGGGCCAGCTGCTTGGAGCGGGGGGATATTTGGGTGCTCACAGCCACCGTGCTCCTGACCGCCCTGGACACAGGGCTCCTTCCCTCCCCCTGGAGCTTCTCTTCATTGTGCAGGGAGTCATTAAATATTCATCGAGGCAGAGATGGAGCTGCTCTTGGGCTGAGCAGGGAGGGCTGATGCTGCTCTGAGCCCCCTCTCCCCGGGATGTCTGACTGAGATGTTGACACAGTGATTAGAGCAGGGACTAAGCCCTGAGCTACCTGCTCCCGGGCAGGAGCCCTGGCCACACGCCTGGAGGCTCAGGTGCCCCGGAGGCCCATCACCCACATCCAGCCCTCACCCATTTCCCCCGGTGGGGACCTAGGGACCCCCTGCCCTGTGCTCTTAGATGTCACTGCAGAGCTCGGAGCTGCCACTTCCAGTCCCTGCAGCCAAAGAAGATGAGACATGTCACATCCCCCTGAGCTGCTAAATTAAAAAGCTGCCGTTTCCCCCGTCACTGATCCACTGAAGCTGCCAGGAGAGCCTCAGCTGGGCCCTGGGGTGTGAGGGAGGGAGGGGGTGCTTTGGGGATCATCCTGGGACTGGCACTGTGAGCCGCCCCAGCAGTGTCACCAGAGGTGCCAGGTGATGTTCACAGTAAAAGCAGAGGTGACCGCAGGCTGCAGTCTCCAGACTGACCTGCTATCCAAGCAAGGGGTGGCTGGGATTTTCATTGTGGATTTAAGTGTGTTCAGGCCGTTTCTTCCTATCCCATCCCCTCCTCCCAGACAGCCCAGAGCTGGGACTCTACCAGCGCTGGAAAGGACCCTGCAGGCCCCCTAATCCCCCCCTCGGCAGGATCAGCCCCGCCAGTGTCATTCCAGACAGATGTGTGTCCAACCTGTTCTTAAAAATACCCTCCTTCACCCTGCCCAGACAGTTTATTCTGGGCTTTGATTCTTCTTGCTGCTAAAAATGCGTTTCTACTGTTTAGCTGATATTTTGCTGATTTTTGTCCTGCCTGCCGTGGGCGTGTTGTTGCCTTCATCCAGAGTCTCGACAGCTGGCCACCGCAGCCCAGCGGAGGAGATGGCAGACCTGGGTGCTGGGAAGGGGATGCCCAGGGGGATGTTGCCTGTCTCCCAGCTGTGTGGCACGGCCAGTCAGTGATGTCTCACCTTGCTCCTGCCCCATCCTCGTCACTGCGACATTGTGCGCTTGGCTCTCACTGCTGGGCGCAGAACATGTTTGCAGGGAATTGTACCTTTTGCAACACTGTTGTGTGCCCCTTTGGCTGTTTTGGCTCTGCTTGGATTTTTCCCATGGCGGAAAATAAACCAGAGGTGTGGGCTGCTCCTGGCTGTCTTTGATCAGAGCAATTCTTGCTGGGGCCAGTAAGATAGACAGCCCCAGTCCCCAGTTTATGGGATTTAGTGGCAGTTTGTGCAGGGGATGTGGGACCACGCTGTGGCTAGGTGCCCTCTTTTCCTACCCCCCTCCAGCCCTAAGCACTCAGCGTAACCTATCCTCTCTGGAGATAACCCTCCTTTGCTCCCCCAGGCCCCCCTAACCGCTCTCTCTCTCCTAGGAGGCAGACGGCGGAGGAGCGGGAGGCCGAGCGGCAGCAAGCGAACCGCATCCTCATGCAGCTGCAGCAGGAGGCCTTCCAAAAAACCATCAACCAGCCCATCCAAGCCGACCCCATCTGTGTCCACAACTCCTCTCTCTTCGCCCTCCAGAACCTCCAGCCTTGGTCTGATGACTCCACCAAGATCACCAGCGTCACCACTGTCGCCTCCGCTTGCGAATAAGGCTGGCACCTGCCAGCGGTATGTGCACCTTCTGCCGGCGGGGCTGTCCCCGGGGGGACACGTGGCATCCCTGGTGGGATGCGTGGCATCCCTGTTTCTCCCCAGGGAAGGCTGGCACCCCACGGTCCTTTGGCCACATGTGCATCCCACGTGTCTGGCTGGGGAAAGCCTCCACGAAGACCGAAAGGAAGGGAAACCACCCCAGAAACTCTCCCCACCCATGGGGTTGCTGGAGCAGCGGTGGTGTCTCACCTCCCCTCAACCCTTTTGTTCTCTTGAAAGTCTTCAGTGCTGACCGTGAACTTGCTGACGTGCTGCCAGACAAAAGCCCAGCCCTGACAGACATGACTGCCGGTGTGCACCCAGCTGGGGGAGAGAAAACTTCCTTTGGATTCTGCTGGTGGCAGTGCAAAGCCTGGGGTCACCCTTATATATCCATATATATATATAAAAAAAAGTGTATGTATATATATATATGTATACTTTGGACTGACGGCTTGAAACAAAAGGAGGAGGCTCCCTGGAAAGTGCGTCTCTGCTGCGAACCTCCTCAGGTCGTCCGCGCCGGAGACGCTCGGGGATGCAACAAATGGAGGAAATAGCAGCAATTTCTGCTTGCGCCAGATGGGAACCCTTCGGATCTCACCTCGCTGTCTCTCCTCCCCTTTTTCATTAATTTTTTTCTTGCAAAGGGGGAATAAGAGAAGGATCTGACAGACTCCTGAGGATGGTAAATATGATATCTCAATTGTATGAAGAGCCCAAACTGTCCCCGGCTGCCACAGACTCCGTGCCCATCAGCGTGTATTTTAATAACAAGAAGACCTTGGTGGCAGTTTGCGAGGGTAATGCAGTTTCTTTCCATGGATTATTTCCATATCATTTGCAAAATGTTGTCCAATGTTTTATTTTACCTGTTTCCCTTTAGAAGGCAGTTCCTGATGGTAAAGAATTGGTTTCACTCTCAACTGTTTAACTTAGTTGTTTCTTTAATTGTACCAAGGGAATGAGACAAAATTAAACAAAGCACTTCTTATAGCAAATGCCAGGAATATATATATATATATATATACAGTATATATTTTTCAGTTACTTATAATCTAAAACAGCACTGCCAATTTAAGCAGCTAGTACAAACAAGCAATCAGAAAACCTATTTTCAGTGAGATTTTTAAAGTCATTCGTTCATTTGGTTTTTTTAAGTTATGCACTTATAAGGTGTTTTATGTGTATTCATTTTATAAAGTGCTTGTGTAATTTATGTGGAAATGAAAAAGAAAATAAAAAAAAATAATCTCCAGGGTACTGAATAAATCATTTAAAGCCTTGCTCTTCCCTGCCTATTAGTTCCCTGAGAGGAGACAGCGTATCTACAACTACTGCTGAAGTCTCTGCTGTTTTTTTTAAATGAAAATAGAGTTAGCGTTTCCATTTGACTTTGCTCAGGTCCACTTGGCTTTGGAAGCTCCAGAGGTGATTTGCTGTATTCTAATCCCCAATCCTGTAAACATTTTCAGGCTTCAACCCAGCAGTGCATTTAGCGCCCGCTTTAATCAAAGCCCTTCTGGGAGGCTTGCTGGGGGTGGCAGGAACTGCGCAGGGGCTTGGCCTTAAACTCATGTTGAATAATTTCTTGAATGAGACCTTGGATTGGGGTCTTGCCTGGGCTGGGAGAGTCTAGAGATGTTCGTGTCTGAGACTTTATATGGAAAGGGGAATTTGGTTATAAAGAAATGTGTAAGAGTATATTTTAGAAACAAGCTTGCAGGGAATTATTCTAGGGACCCTGTTTTCCGTTCATGCTCAGCCTTACTCAGGGATGTTGTCCCCATCTAGGCAAGCCTTTCTCAGAGGAAAATCAAACCAGTGGGAAAACTCCCATCTGCTTCCTTGGGGGAGACTCCCAGCCTCACAGCCAGGGAAGCTGGGTTGACTTCAGCCTGCTGTTTCCTTCCAGCACTGGGAATTACTGGGTAAAGGATGTTGGAGGAGAGGACTGAAAGGGGCGCCCAGCCATGAGCCGCTGGCAGGGGCCGCCTGACGTCGCCCTGGGGGCCAGGCTGCCGTGGGATGTGGGCGACAGAATACCCCGAGCCTTTGATAGCCGGCGGTCGATAGCGCTCCTGGAAGCTGGGTCCTCTGGGTGCAGCGTGGCTGGGAGCTTAAGGCAGTGTGTGAATAGCCTGCTTTACACAAAATCTCTTGTTGCAGGGTAGGGCTGAAAATTTATGGTGCTGCAGGACTTTCCCATCCTGCAGTCCAATACATGAGCGAACACAGAGAAACATTTGCAGCGATGGAGAGACGAAAAGCCAAAAAAAGAAAAAAAAAAAAAGATAAAACACAGGAAAATAAGTAAATACAGAAAACACACGTTTTGGGAAGTATCTTTAAAAAAAGATGCCCCTCAAAAACGCTAAAATAAAATACCTTGTGGTTTTTTTCTGAGATAAATTTCACAGAATTCTTTTGTTTTAATTCTGTTTCATACCACAGACAGATTTTTAGGAGCTGATTAACCTAATTATTTAATATGTGCCCAACTTCGGCTACAAAGATAATTCTGGGCTTAGGGCTTACTCGTTTGGGAGACATTGCTGTGTACAAATCTTTAATGGTTTACAGTTTGTTGCAGTGTACGTTTTTGTTTTCAAGGTTTCTGCGTAGGAAAAAGCACCAACCACAAAATAATAAAAAAAAAGGATGATGGAGCTCACTGTTGATATTAAAAGTGTTTTCTATTTTATTATTATGACACATCAATATCTTAAAATTTAATTCCAAGACAGCCATTTTATAATATCCACGTTATTCAGTTCATATTCCAAAATGTTCCCCAGCAAAGTTGAATGTATGATAATGCACATTCGAGGGCATGTGTTTAGATACAATATTTAGCTACACCTTGTTCTCAAAACTGTTAACTTCCTCCTTTTCTTATCAATCTTTCCTGTTAAAAAAAAAAAAAGACTGAAAGAAAAAAAAGAAATCTTGATATGAAATGACAATATATGTAACATTGGAACCAGAAAAATAGTCGTCCGGTCTTTCTTGTCCCTGGAACAATTGCTTCTGGAAGGGCTTTCTGTTAAAATATTTCTCCTGGATTCATTTTAAAAATTGATTTAGTGGCAGGAGGTGTTTTTGATATCTGCATATGTGCTTCCAGTTATTAATATGATGATCTGTACCTAGACAATAAAAGTTGCCTGAAATATGATGGAATTAAATCAATAAGCAATGACATGAAACAATGACATATAATGGTATGTTTTGTAGACTGACATCACCTCAGCCATATCCTGGGGCCATCCATACCTCACTGAAGGCTGATTTAATTCTTCCTATTATATCTATTTGGCAACAGGAACAAAACTGCATTAAGACACCTTGAAAGTAATTTCCCCCTTCCCTCTATCTCAAAATACAGCGAATCCCACATGTGAAACGGGAGTTAGGAAGAAATGTTTTTTCCACTGTTTGCCTGTATCTAGGAAATACGGACCAAGGTAGAGTGAACTTGGGCTGGAGGGGGAAAGCCTGTGTGATACCTGCAGCCGAGGGCACACGGGCATCGCAGGAGAGCGCACCGTGGTCGTGCACATCTCTGTCGCCCGCAACGCTGCCAGGGACCAAGAGCTATTGATCTCGTTGGGTTGGCTATGGATGTGCTGAGCTTTCGAAGGCAGAATCAGGGGCGGGGGCAGAAAAGCACCATCGTTGCACGAGCAAGCGGAGCATTAAACATCTGTGTGGAGCTGGAAGAGACGAAGCCCAGCTGGATGGGCTGCGGTTGTCTGGGTTTGGTCCCAGCTCAGCAAACTATGTGGGCAGGAGGGAACCAGAGGTCTGGCCCCCATTTAGCCAATTAGTTAAGCACATGAGTCATCCAAATGAGGATCAGTTAGTTTATCTCTGAGGAGGGACGGGCCCAGGGAAAGGCTGAAGGGTCTTTGCTGGAGCCTCCTGTCTTGAATAGAGCCTGCAGTTGTGCTTTTTCCTGGGCATGGGCCAACACGTTTGGTCCCTTGCCGTACGTGCATACCCCAGTTTCTGTGTGAGTACTTGTAGAGACCACATGCAGCTTTTCTTAGGCTGCATTGTCCCATCTATGGGAAGTTTGTTGTATGTTTAATGCTATTTTTCCTGCAGCAGCATCTGCAAGAGTGACCTGTATATGGCATTTGCTAGAGGAAGACTCTGGCGAGTGTATGTGTCCTCTAATACAGTTTGTATAATTGATAATAAAAGGAGGTTCTGACCCTGCAAATACCCATATATAGGATCGTTTTAATTACCTCACTGGGACTGTAGACCAGTATTTTCAGATGTGCTCCTAATTAACCAACCCACCAGAAATAAAAAGCTTATAACTGGGGCTACTGACTCGGCACAGGGCCAGCGGGAGCCCAGCGCCGGGGGAGGCAGCCCCCTCCTCGCCGCCGAGGACAGCTTACACACAGTCTAGGGCTAGATGGGGTAGAAAACACAAGCCGATTTACTGACAAAACTGAAAATGGCTTTGCTGAAAACTGTTTGGGTTATAGTAAAACACCAACCCTGTCTGTGCTTCTGGGACAGCTGGAACTTTTTGAATTAATCTTTTTTTTTTTTTTTCCCCTGCCAGAAGACTGGCTGAGTGACACTGATTTCTTTGTGCAACAGTGAGCTTTGATGGCCACTTATTTGAAAAATGTTTGTGAAATAAGATTTGGAATTATCAAAATATCCCAGGTGGAAATTTTCTAAATGAAAAGGGCTGATTTGTGAAGAAAAATTAGATTTTAAAAAACTTTTTTTTAACAAATATTAAGGGAAGAAGAAAAGCACATAAAGCTATAGATTATCACAACAAGCTTCTGCTGGAGTCAAAGCAGATTGTCTCTCTTTTCGCAGATCTTTTGTTTGTGAAGCTAGCTGGGACTTTTTTTTTTAATTATTGTTATTATTATTATTTTCACCATTGTTTACAGTAGGAAATTTCTGTTTGATATGTCAGC